TTTTTGGAGTATTTCAACTTGGTATACATCAATACAACCTTAGATTCTAAATTTTAATAATATAAATATAAAATGTTCATAGCAACTAAATATTTCACTAAAAAATGCTATTATCCATACACAAATTCAAAATCGTTTTTTGTTTTTACACATATTTTTCATTATATAGAAATGCCACACCTTTATCCCTCAAAATTGTCAATGGCAAAAAGTTTCACACAATCCTTTCAAACAACAACAAATTTATTTGAAGTGCTTTTATAAATTAGTTTCTGAGATACACTCATTTAAATAAACTATTTGTAGCAAATTTTTCAGGAGTATAAAGTTTTCCTAATCTCTCACTAATAATAATAACAATATTAAAGATTATTGCATTAATATATACGTGAGGAAACAGAAACTGAAACTTAATCACCCAGTGCTGTAATGGCGTCAACTGCTTCGAGGAGGGAGGATGCACCATTTGGTAGGTCCATGATATGTCTAAACGTTTGTAATGGTGTGCGTGTGTTGGGAGTTTGTAGTAGGTGTGTGATGTGTGTAGGATGTGTTTGTCTAAATGTATTATTGCAAAAAAGCACAACGCTCTGGGACATGTTTAGCATGGGAGATATTAGTGTAAATCCTCCGGTTTAATATGCAAAAAATAAATAAATTATATAATTTCAATTCTACAAGCATTTGAACACAGATATGCAAATGGGAGCGCCGGCGCTCCCGCCGGTCTCAAAGGGCTAAGATATTCAGTGGTACTGGAAATGCTTAAACATTTAATTTTTACTACTTAATTGGAATGGTGACATATCTATTATGTACAGATTAGCAGTAATATGTTTTAAATAATTTTTGAAAATGGACATGGTTGCAAATTAAATGCTACAGTGGCTTGCTATATACCTGCACACTGCATGGAGCAGACTTGAAGCAGCAACCTGACTTTAGCGGTTCTGCTGCATAGCACTGCCGACAGCTAAGAATAAACAGCGCTTGTGTGTGTGTGTGTGTGTGTGTGTGTGTATATATATATTTATATATATATATATATATATTTATATATAGTAATGATGGGTAGTTTACATCTTACTTGTGAACCATAAAATGTGAGATTCCATAGAAATATGAAATATCAGTCTGATAGATCTTTGAATATTTTAACCAGAAGATCAGAACTTTTTATTGCAGTGATTACTGGACACTTTCTATTAACTCAGATAAAAGAGAGAGAGTCAGGTTTATAATAGTTAAGAAATTTATTTCTACACACTTTAAACAAGTCTAACTGTAAACACTCTGTGTACTGATGAAACTAGGTGGAATTAATCAATTAATCTAGGTGGAGTTAATCAATTTCCCTCTGGGATTAATAAAGTATTTTTGAATTGAGTTGAATGAGACATGAGATGAATGGTGTATGTGTGGAATGTTGTTTTCAGAACTCTCGTATCCGGAGAAGCAATTAGTTCTGAGTGGGAGCGAATGTTTCGCTCTAAACTACGGTTGGTGATTTATAAAACACATTAAACGCCATCTGTCAGTCTACGTACCCACAGGCGAAGCCTCCGTTCAGATCCAGAATGTCGAGGTCCGTGGACCTTCCTTGGTACCGAAGCCGTTAGAGAGAGCAGCAGTGCCAACCAGACTAGTCTTGGAATTCTTCCAGGTCACGACAGGTTATTATTGGCGTCAGCGAGACCCTGAAGGGGTCGTGAGGTTCAGCTTTTATTCTGAAGGAACCGCTGCGGTCAGGTGTAACGTGCAACAGATTTTATCCAGCTTGTCAAGGTTCTTATGGTTGTAAAGGTTCCGGATGGCCTGTCCAAAACTTCTCTAGAACGCTTTGAGCTGAAGTAAAGGTGACGTGGGGATAGTTTTTATAAATGTCATATTTTGGTTTACTGGCGAATCAGAATTTGACATGCAAAAGAGGGCTTATACAGACACCACAGAAAACCATCCCTTACATCAGAAATGTAGGTTCTGATTGTATCAGACAAAAGGAAATGTGAAATGTGACTTAACATAACTCTATGTCAATGTGTCTAGTGCAGCTGTCCAAAATTATAATTAAGTACTACTATTATGTCCCCGGCTCTCTAGGAGAGATGAGGAGGGGAGTAGTAAAATTAGTGTGTGGGATAAATAATAACAGAGTGCTATGTCGCTAAAAAACAAGGGATTTATTACAAAATGAATGGAATATTTACAAAGAATCCAAAAAAACAATGCTATATACAAAACAAAAGGAGCTATATTTAAAAAGGGAGAAACTGAAAATGCCACCCCAGAAGGGGGTGGGAAGAAAACCGAGAATAATAAATATATATATTCAAAAGGGGAGATCCGAGGTCAGGGTCTAAAGCCGGTCCGAAGTCTATACGCCAAATGGTCTAATCCAAAATCCAAATCCGAAATCCTATTGAGAGCAAATCGAAGACTAGCGAGTGAACCGAGTTGTACCAAAAGCGAACCGAGGAGAAGAGAATAGTATAAACTGTTCCCAGTCTACATACCCTTGAACTTCTCCTCGAACTGGTGGCTGGGATCAGCTTTTAACTGCTGCCAAGTGATCATCAATGATTTGGAACAGCTGGGCACCGGGAGACGGGCGAGACAAAGGCCACTGAGGCCATCTTGTGGCCGAAAAGGGACACGGCACGAAACAACTACTGATCACAGGATTATAATATCAAGTAATACATTGTCATTTCACAAAATGATTGAATATCTGATTCACATTATAATTTGCAATAACTAACGTTGTTTGATTTTGTATTTATCAAAAGAGTTCTCCGTCTAGTCTTGAGCTGTAAGGAGGTGAAGCAGTTTAGATGAGCAGAGGACATGAAAGGCCTTGGGCCAATATCTCATGTAGATTAGGCCTCCCGACGGAGACATCACATCTCCGCTCAAGCAGACAGCAGAGCATGACCTTTCAGGCCAAAAACAGGACATTTTGTGACGCTACAATTTATATATATATATATATATATATATATATATATATATATATATATATATATATATATTAGGGCTGGGATTTGATTAAAAATTTTAATCTAATTAATTACAGGCTTTGTAATTAATTAATCTAAATTAATCGCATTTTAATCGTTCAGGAAAATGTGCTCTCAAAGTAAAACTTTTAATTAAAATTATGAGACAGAGAATCAAACATTAGACATGGTTATTACTGTAAACTAAAGCTTCTAATAATAAAATGCATTTTAATTATTCAAATGTCACTGTGTGAAATGAAACAAAACCCAAATCAACTAGAATTTATAATTACAAATAGAAAACACCTGCAAAGGGTTCCTGAGCCTTTAAATAGTCTCTCTATCTAGTTGAATTACTGAAATAAGTTTGACTTTGCACCAGATTCTAATTTTTCCAGTTTCACTTGTTTGTATAATTGGGAGTTTTTATTAGCATTTCTACTCATAATGTAGTAAAAACACATAAATAATAATCCTTCAAAATGACAGTAGAACATGAACAAATATGATCTAGGACTTAAATGTACTAACTTTTAACACCAGAGCAGGCATGGCATATTCTGAGAATGATCAGGAACACTAACTGGTTCCAGTTGGATGACTGGAGGTTGATGGGATGATAAAAGATCACGGCGAGGAAATAATGATCTGACGAACAGGTGAGCGGACCTTCCTTACATGGGAAGTCCTGCTGTCACGTTAAGAAGGGGATGCTGCACACCCACAGATTCAGGCCTGCTGCAGCGAATCTGGTGTGATCTCCAGCCTGATCACAACTTCCTCATTCCTCGCTGCCCCTGATTCACTTAAGCATCCACCCCTTAGCTGATGACAGCTTCAACACACCTCGCTGCTTAATGATAGTAATGCATGTGATGTTTAGACAGTGACTCGTCTCAGAAACGTATAATTCCTCGACAGAATTGTTTAGAAAATCATCAGAAAAGTTTCAGAGTGTTTCTGTTTTAACTTAAACTTCTGTTATCAACTTTAAGACATGTCTGTGATCAGAGTAGTGAGGACACGGAGCGTTCTCCCAGCGGCAGCCAAGTGCCTCTCGTTTGTCTGACTACTTTCATAAACTACTGTTAAGGCACAGAATTATTCTGTCTGGTGCTTTCAGCGCTGCACAGATGTTATGTAAATGTTAAAAATATAGCTTACCGCAACTTTCGTCAAGTTTCCCGTGCCACCGGGCAGCCGCAGCAGAGACGATCTCTGAAAAATTTCCGCGACACGGACTCCGTTGTTGTCTGGAAGTTTTTTTATCCAAGTTAAGAAAAGAGGCGGACGTGTTTCCTAAATCCTGCATCAGTCCAAGCAAGGCAACTTCTTTCTGTTTTTATTCCGTTTTAGTAGTCATTAGCACTGTGCATTGTTGTGTGCGTCAGTGATATTCAGTCTATGAGGAAATCGTGCAATGACAAAGGTTCCACCGTGCTTGAAATGCAAGCTGCGATTAAATGCGTTAATTTTTTTTTACGCGTTATTTTGTTCTAATTAATTAATCGTAATTAACGCGTTAAAGTCCCGGCCCTAATATATATATATATATATATATATATATATATATATATATATATATATATATATACATACGTTCTCATTCAATATGTTTTCTTTATTTTCATGACCACTTACAAAGGGGCCAACAAGTGCTAAACACCTCTGGGAACTCCTTTAAGACATTTTTCAGGTGACTCCCTCTTGAAGATCATCAAGAGAATGCCAAGAGTGTGCAAAGCAGTAATCAGAGCAAAGGGTGACTATTTTGAAGAAAATAGAATATAAAGCATATTTTCAGTTATTTCACTGTTTTGGTTAAGTACATAACTCCACATGTATTCATTCATAATTTGAATGCCTTCATTTAGAATCGCCTGATATAAATGGTCATGAAAATAAAGAAAACACGTTGAATGAGAAGCTTTGTCCAAACACGAGAGATTTTTTTTTTATTCACATTAATCTACATTTTGTTTTGTCTTTTATCCTGTCCAGAACTTCCACAGCATCATGTCTGGGAAAACAAGATGACTCTGACTGACCAGCAGCTCTCTAAACAGAAATGGACCTCCAGTTTGGACCAGAAGGAACCAGAACCTCCACTGATGAAAGAGGAACAACAAGAACTCCTTATCCATCAGCATGAAGGGCAGTTTCTTCTGAAGCAGGAAGTTGTTACCTTCATGGAGCCTTCTCCTTCTGAAGAAACAGACTGTCATGAACCAGAACCAAACAAGAACCAACCCTTGTGTCAGAGTACTACAGAAGCTGAGAACCAAGATCAGGGTGGATGCAGGAAAGAAAACTCAGAATCAAACAGCAAAGAAGAACTGACACGTAATAAAATATGCCAATCCAAAGATCACAGAGACAGTGTAGCTGATAAAAAACAAAAAAGGCACAAGAGGGCTCACACAGGTGAGAAGCCATATCCATGTAAAACTTGTGGTAAATGTTTTAGTGACAGTAGTTCCTTGACTAGACACATGAGAATTCACACAGGTGAGAAGCCATATCCATGTAAAACTTGTGGTAAATGTTTTAGTGACAGTAGTTCCTTGACTAGACACATGAGAACTCACACAGGTGAGAAGCCATATTCATGTAAAACTTGTGGTAAATGTTTTATTGACAGTGGTTCCTTGACTAAACACATGAGAACTCACACAGGTGAGAAGCCATATCCATGTAAAATTTGTAGTAAATGTTTTAGTGACAGTAGTCCCTTGAATACACACATGAGAACTCACACAGGTGAGAAGCCATTTCATTGTAAAAGTTGTGGTAAATGTTTCTCACAGAGTGCTGCTTTGATTTATCACATGAGAATTCACACAGGTGAGAAGCCATATCCATGTGAAACTTGTGGTAAATGTTTTAGTGACAGTGGTTCCTTGACTAAACACATGAGAATTCACACAGGTGAGAAGCCATATTCATGTAAAACTTGTGGTAAATGTTTTAGTGACAGTAGTTCCTTGACTAGACACATGAGAACTCACACAGGTGAGAAGCCATATTCATGTAAAACTTGTGGTAAATGTTTTAGTGACAGTAGTTCCTTGACTACACACATGAGAATTCACACAGGTGAGAAGCCATATCCATGTAAAATTTGTAGTAAATGTTTTAGTGACAGTAGTTCCTTGAATACACACATGAGAACTCACACAGGTGAGAAGCCATTTCATTGTAAAAGTTGTGGTAAATGTTTCTCACAGAGTGCTGCTTTGATTTATCACATGAGAATTCACACAGGTGAGAAGCCATATCCATGTAAAACTTGTGGTAAATGTTTTAGTGGCAGTAGTTCCTTGACTACACACATGAGAACTCACACAGGTGAGAAGCCATATTCATGTAAAACTTGTGGTAAATGTTTTAGTGACAGTAGTTCCTTGACTACACACATGAGAACTCACACAGGTGAGAAGCCATATTCATGTAAAACTTGTGGTAAATGTTTTATTGTCAGTAGTTCCTTGACTACACACATGAGAACTCACACAGGTGAGAAGCCATATCCATGTAAAACTTGTGGTAAATGTTTTAGTGACAGTAGTCACTTTACTACACACATGAGAACTCACATTAGGGCTGCACGATATTAGGAAAACCTGCGATATTCGATAACAGTGCTTAATATTGTGATATCGATATTACTCACGATAAATGAACAAATACTCAAGTATGCAGTGTTGATGTCGTCTGGTGTGTGACGGCTGCTCTGGGTTTAAAGCAAACAAAAACTAATGCATGAATTCCATTACAACATAACATTTTTTGTGCAAAAATATGCAGCTGCACCTGCTACTGTATTAGCAGCAAAACAACAAACTGCATGCATGCAGTTTCTCAGTGACTTAAAAACATCACCTCCACCATAAAACTTTTTCTGATGCTCCAAATACAGAAAAACATCCCTTACCAGGGTTTTTGAGTAAATAAAAAAAAAAAATCAGAAAATAAGTTTAAATGTTAAATAATAGTTAACATCACTTAAATGCAACAGCAAATTCTCTCATTGCTACTGAACATTTTCTCCACTTATGTGGTTATGATATAAGGCTGTTGCTGTAATTGGGAAGTGATCTGTGCTGGGCCAAACTAGGAGAATATTAAGATTTTCTGAGGGAAAGAGAAAAACAATTGTCTACCTTTCAGAAGAGGAACTGGCAAAAAAACTGCATGGAAAATATGTGAAAACGTTTGTTTTTGACCCCAAATTGAACAAGTTTACCTAGATCTTAAAAAGCAGCTCAGATGATGAAACTGCAACTATGATTCGGATAACAAGCTAACAAATTGAACTAGCTCCTCTAAGATAACCGGCTAGCAGAGCTTCTGACTGACAGTTTATGTGCAGCAGCAAATCAACTATCCTGATTAACAAGGTTATAAAAGCTCATAAATGAAAAATCACTTTGATGTGTGGGGGAACTTTTCCAGGCCCTTTTTAGCAGGGTGGGACTGGGAGGAGAGTGCTGTAGCCTTTTAGCTGGAAGCTAACCAGAGCCACCACCCGGTGGAACACTAGCACCATGGAGGTGGGTTTGTTCACCGGCACGTGTCTGAGTCAGCCCGGTAAAAATGATTAACGACACGGAGCGGACTCGCGTTCACGTTTGAAAGCAGCGCTGATTCCAGAAACCTCAGCACAAAGTGCGTTCGTTGCTCTGAGCCAGCATGATGAACAAGGGAACGGCGCCGCTAATGTTCGGGTGTTGCTTTCCAAAAGGGTCTACGTAGGGGGCGGGCGTATTACGTTAACGGACCCATCTGATTGGCCGCATATCAGAAGGGCTACATTTGATTGGTCAAATAATACTTCCGCGTAAAAAACAGAGCTGGTTTACAAAAAGTTGATGTATGGCACGGATGGAAATGTTTGAACCAAACATTTATCGCCGTTTTTGACGTGCTTTGCGATGGGCCTATCGCACGTCCTTTTATCGCGATGACGATAATTTTTCGATATATTGTGCAGCCCTAACTCACATTATATCATTGAATTGCTAAAGCCTCATACTCCAACCTGAGCTCTCAGGTCCACAAACTAGAACCTTCTAGAAGTTCCAAAGACCAATTATAGAAGTCCAGGTGATGGCTCCTTCCAGACTGTTGCACCCTGACATTGGAGTGGTCCTCCTTTTAGCCTTACGTAGTCTTGACAGTCTGGACACTTTTTAAAAAACAGCAGAAGACCCTTTCATTTAAAGCTGCTATTTCTAAATATTGTATTTTCTTATTTTTAACTCAAATTTGTAATCATCATTCCTTTGTTTAATGGTATTTTATAAATATGTGACTTAGATTTTTGTTTCTGTTTTAAGATCACTATGATTTTATGACTTAATGATTTGTTTTGATCTATGTGAAACACCATGTGATTTTCTGTCTGTGATGAGTGCTATATAAATAAAATGTACATACATGTGAAAAGCCATATCTAGGGATGCTCCGATCAAGTTTTATGCTTCCAATCACGAATTCAAAGAATGTTGATTACTGATACCGATCACACAGCTTGGCCAAAAATTTCCTGTGAAGTTATGAGTTCTACAGATATGATCTGGGCATAAAGGAACAATAACATCCACTAAAATGGCCTATATTAATTAGAAAGAAAAGGAAACAATTTTTATATAGCTCCTCTCAAGATAAAAATCAGAGGCGCTTCACAAAAACAAAACATTTTAAATATAGAAAAGATTTTGAAAACATTCTAAAAATTGTGATTAAAAATGTAAGGAAAGGGAATGCGAAAACGAAGAGGAAAGAGAAATCGGTGGATCCTGGGCAGAATAAGGAGGGTGATGGTCACATCAAAGCCAGCCTGAACTGGTGAGATTTCAGCTTCTTTTTAAAGGAGACCACTGAGTCCAACGATCTCAGGCTCAGGGGGAGAGAGTTCCCGAGCCTGGTGCTCTGCACAACCAGGCTTTGGTCAATGGACCTCAGGGACCTGCTGGGGGTGTAGGGACTGAGAAGATCACCAATGTATGATGGAGCTTGTCCATGTAAGGCCCTAAAACTAGAACCAGGATACTAAATTGAATTTGACTGGCAGCCAGACATGTTAGACAAAAACATATTTTTAAACATTTTTAAGAGATAAAAAGACTTGCAACACAATAATTGTGTTTGTTTCCGTATGTTCCCCAAATGAGTCAAGAAACTAAAGTCTTCTGATTAAACATTCAAAGGCCAATCAGATTGATATTTCATATTTACATGGAATTATCACATCTTATTGATCAGTTCATATATATGTAGCCAATCCTCACTACGAGGGGAAATCCTGCTGTACTGCCTGATTGAAATGGAGCGCAGCGCCGCCGCAGTGAAAGCGGATAACGGGACGGGGAAGCTAATTAGCATAAAAAGCCAGCATGAAATTATGGAAATGCCTCAAAGAAAATCAACACGATCCATTAGGTGTCCCAGTAGGCTTATATCTGAAGACAGTGACCATGAAGAAGGACAGATCTCCAGTGAACCAGAGTATGAATGTTTGTTCAGTCTTTATTTTTTATTTTTTTTATTTGAACAACCCTCAACTATTTGCTAATTGTAAGATTCAGCTTCATTCCAGCATTATTTATCTTTTTACAATAAATAATTATTTTTTTGCTAAAACAAAGTTTTTGGTATAGCAGTGCACGGTGTGCAAGAGAAGCACCCCATGGCAGTGTGAGGTGTGCAGAGTGGGACTCTGCCTGCAGCTGGAGAGAAACTGCTTCAAGGTCTGCCACATCAAATAAAAACATCTGAAAGTTTACAAAAATAAATGGTCCTAAAAACTGCTAAAAAAGATACCAAGGTTCAAACTTTTTAATAATAGATGCAGGTCAAAGTTTAAATTGTTCATTCCAAATTGTTTGTCCAGTAATTTTGAAGTTCCTGTTCAGAAATAAATGTAAAAAATTCTAATCCATTTTTTGCTTTTTTCACTTTTAAGCTGATTTTTTAAAGGCTTTAATAGAAATAAATTCTAAATACAAATCATACACTGAAAGCTGAGGTTGCTCTGAAAAAAGGAGAAGAGTTACACACACTTTGCACTTTTTTTTTACACAATTTTACAGCCATAAGATTAAAAAATACCACGCGGCCCTGTTATAATTATGGTCATAAGAGGGTTATTGAGACGGCGTTGCACAAACAGGAAGTGATTGGTAGTCATTCCACTCCAATCCAGTTGGTGGCGGTAATGCACCAAATTGTTGTTTGCCAAGTGCCATAAGACCACAAATAAGAAGAAGAAGAAGAAGAGAGGCGGGAGCGTTTGTAACAAACTCAAAGCGATAGTCAAAACATTAAGCATGAAATGGAGTTATCCTAGTGGCTCCAATGAGAGAAAGAGGCAGCTTGCTTCATAAAAGCTTTTATTTTCACTTCTGAAAGTGACGTCGTTTTTCGATGTAAACATCAAAAGGAAGCAGAAAGGAAAGACTATGGAAATTGTTTAAAGGGAGGAAAACAGACCAAATTGGAAAATAGAAAAAAAAAGCACAGGAGCCCTGACAGGAAAAATAAAGCAGAGCAAATATTGAAAGCGCTCAAAGGGAGGGAAATACAGGAAAAAAGAGGAGGACTAATATAAAGGGAAAATAACTCATGTCAGAAGAGGGGAGAGTTTCGCAAATCCAGTTAAAGATAAGATTGTCGAGAATTTAGTGTAAGGGGCCCCATGTCTGTGTTCGCCTTGGGCCCCCAAATTGCTAAATCCGCCACTGATAATCAGATCCGTAATCTGTTTTTAGTCATTTCCTCGGTTTTGGGGTTTACTTGGGGGCATCCTGAACACCCACCCAGTCCCTTCTTGTCACAGTCCAAGCGAGGGAGAATAATAACATCACTTCTGGCAGTGTCAATCGTTGATTTCTCCTCCTCTGCAGCTATGATGGTCTTCACCAAACACGTGATGGCGGAATCAAAGTTTGTGTCGTCCTGGAGAAAAAGGTTTGTGAAGATGACAACAGAGGATCATTAGGGTTGTAACAGACAACTTTCAGCTACTTCTGAGGATAAAGATGATAATTAAAGACACAATAAAAAAGTTTTTTTCCTGATCAGCAGGATCTTTGTAGACTCTTTAATTTTCTCACAAATTATTACAGTCTAATAAAAGCATTATATATATATATATTTAGTAGAGTATTACAGCAGCTCAAGATTTATTGGGATGTCTATTATGATTTAAATAAACTTCTGAAAATCGTTTTTCTGGAGAAGTAAAAAAAAGAAGGCGGTCATAATAGAAATGAGACTTGGAGGACACCCTCCTCTTCATGACAATAAAAGCTAAATTATTTAATTTTGATGGAAAAAATAAAATCAACAGAACTGTTTACATTTGCAAAGACAGCATCCAGTTCTTATTTATGGCAACTTGGGGGCAGTGTTTGACTCCAGGGTGTCACCTAAAAGGGTGTCCAGAAGTGAGTGCAAAAGATCTAATCTGATCCTATATTCTTTTATTTCATTTGAAAATAGAAAAAGTTAACCCTTTATTGAAAATAATTTAAAAAATCCCCAAAACAAAGATGAATGCTATTATTCGTGCAATTTAAGATGACTTAGAGAAGTTGTCTCCAAGCTTTACTTCCTGGTTGCTCGGTGTTCTGACTCCTCTGGGTTCTGCAGAGGTTGAGCCATGACTGATGGTGTTTCTGTGTGTCTTCTCTATCGTGATAAGCCTCTACTGCTCTGATAACAAAGCAGATGTGCTCCAGATGGTTCTGTATGATAAGGTTGGGTGGTACTTCTCTTTATTCAGAACTGCCTTTTAGATGGAATGTCTGAATCATCACAGAGCCTTCTGTGTGTTTTATAGATGGATGCAGATATTCGTTACTGCACCTACTGGAGAGGTTCGCCAACACTTTTTAGTTTTTTGAGGTTTGGTTCTTTTTTCCCCTGATTTGAATGAAACCTGATCATTAAGTTGAACACTTTTAACCCTCCCACTGTCTTTATGGGTGACCCCGCGAGGAAAGATGACCATTGAGCAGGATTGATGGTTTATCCCTTGACGGGTGGCAGGGGTGACGTTGTGCTCACTCCTCACCCCTGCCACACAACCTCACCCCTGCCACATGGACCCAAGGGATAAACCATCAACCCTGCTCAGTAGTCAACTTTCCTCACGGGGTCACAGTGGGAGGGTTAAGCACAAACAAATGCCCAATTTGCTGTCTGAAAATAAAAGCTGCGTCTTGCCTTGGCAGAGGTTTCGAAGCAGCCAACAAACCCGTGCTCCTGGTAGAAGCTGTCCAGTTTGGGACACAAACCGTGACTACGCTGGTCACATTTGTTGGCCAACAGAACCGCTGGAACTGGCCTTCCATTGCTCAGGGTGACCTGGTGGAACAGCAGACTTGCTTGGAACTGCCACAGGTTGAGTCTAGTCTGCCCCCAAGTGGACACAACAGTCTACTGCAGCAAATTCACTTACCTTTGAATCCAGATCTCCTTTCTACTTGAGGACAGCCTGGAACGTGGACAGCCTCGTCATGTCGAGCTCCCACAGCTTCTCTGTAATACACCCGGGTCATGTTCCCGTAATGTTCCTGTCCTGTTGGACAAAAACAAGAAGTGTTTGTGTTTCTGTCGTCCATCCGTCCGACTGTCAGAAAACTGCAGTATTAGTCAGAAATGTGATCAAAGCCAACAGAAATTAGGTGCTTTATGAAAAAACAAGTTAAACATTTTATAGCTCAAACACAACCCTGAAAAACCACTTGTTTGTTATGCTGAATGGTCTTTAAACACACCTAACACAAGAATTCCATCTGATCACACTTAGCTCGTGGTATACACAAGTGAGAAATGCAACTGTAACTAAAGTTCAGAGGTTATCGTTTAAAATGTCAAAACTTCTGTCTTTTGTGTTAAGGGAGCTGCAAAGGGGACAACATGAGACACTTTAACTATTATAAAGGGTAATGCAACCACAAAAATAGCCCACAACCTCACTCACTCATTTTCTATACCACTTAATCCTCATACGGGTCATGGAGAGCTGGTGCCTAACTCTGGCAAACAATCCACAAATTAAAGCAAAACAAGGAAAGTTGAATAATGACATGAGCTAGACTATGTAACAAACTGGCTAAAATAAAAATAGAATAGCATGAAGCACAAACAGCTTAATCATTTTAAAAATGCCCACAAACAAGAAAAGGACATTTATACAATATTAATAGAAAATGTAGTATAAATAGAGTTTCTGTGCAAATTTAGACCTCAAAACAACTGAAGAAAAAATGACTAAATTAGTCTGAAAATTACCTTTACATTTACATCTTTTTGGGATTTTGCATAAAAATATCTGAATGATAAAGCAAAACAAAACATCTGCCAGCAGATGGAGACAAAACAAAGACAAGTTACAAACAGATTCTAAAAATACATTTTTCTGCTAAACAAACTAGCATAAAACATTTTTTCATGCCTCTTAACAACGTTCTAACATATTTTAGCTATAAATGTTTTGCTGCGATAAAAGAAAATACAACAACTTGTGGTTCTCTTGCATTTGTCTAAAAACCCTGCCAATAACATGGCTTTGTCTGAAGCATCTATGGTATTGGTTGTCGCTTTTGCCAAACCGCCGCACTTTCCTGGGTCCTCCGCTCATTATGAGCTTTTTTTTGCTGCAGCAGCAGCAGCAGAACACCACTGGTGTGAGAGGTTCTCTTGGCTCAACAATATCAGAGAAGGAGAAACAGCCAACTGCTACCACTTGAACTTTAGGACAAACTACCAGAGTCCAAAGAAGAAAAACACTGTTAGAAGTCACAGACAACAAAATATGTTTAGACCTAGGTAATGGCGACTGGTGTTTAGTGCTTTCTTGATTACTGTGGCAATGCTGGTTCCGGTATCTGCCGGACGCGACTCAGGGATGATTGGTTAAGTGTTCTGTGACCGTGTTTGTGTTTAAAAGCTAGATTTCCTTGCAGATTTGCTATTGCAGCTTTAATCTGAATGGTTTGTCAGCTTATAGCCATTTTCGATTTCCTATGAACAGAAACTTCTGATGATGATATGTTACAACCAGGGTTCGAAATTAACACCTGCCAACCCGCCAAATGTGGGTTAAAAATCGTTTTGGCGGGTACTGTTAAAATATTACTAGCCAGTTTGGCCGGTGATTCGGAGGCAACCAAGCAATTCATGTCAGAGACGCTCTGGGTCGTTTGCCCCCTCCTCCCCTCCTCGAAGACGAGTCACGACTGTGAGGGATTTATCTCCTCACTAATAGTTATTCCTCTTGTTTGTTTACTCCTGTATTTTTGTGTGTTTTAGGTCAAATATGCTTGGTAATCTATAAATTACTTTAAGTTAAGTTGATCTATTGGTGTTCATCACTCCCTTCTTTCTGAGGTCATTTGTTTAAGTGTTGCCATGGAAGCGCGCCCATAGGCAGCCATGATCAGTTCCTGGTGTGCTTAATCAGCTCTACTGAGGGAGAAACTAACTGACTGAAGAGAGGGGGGGTTATCTTGTGTTTGTTTAAGTGTAGTTGTTCTTGTTTTTGTTCTTTTGAGTTGAGGTAGTAGGTAAATATGTAAATAGATTGTTTGACATATTTTGTTGAGGTGTTGAGATGTACTTTATTGATTGCAGGATTTGAAGCTAATGTTTCCCCTGCCCATGTCATAATGGCTGGTTCCAAATTAGCTTTAAAAAGGGTGGATTCGGTACTGTTGTGGTTGATTGCTAGCCTAGTGAACTAGACCAAATTCTTGCTTTGCAAAGTTTGGTCTACGTGGCTTTCCAGGCTAGTTGATTGCTTGTTAAGGGGAATCCATGCCCCAATGTCATGGATTGTTTGCATTAAAAAAAAAGGATAAAAAGTCAGAGCTCAGCAACATCCTGGACTCTTGCTTTTTCTTCTGTTGACAAACAGCTGGTAACATTCTGAGTGAGTAACAAGGCAGAGGCTCTGTCTGGGCCAAAACCTTACAACGACACTACCGTAAACCGTGTGCTATTTGTGACGTTTTAGATGCCTATTGGCTGCAACGCACAGGCACGCTTCTGTCTGCTGTGCAATTTGGTCCAATCAACGATGAGAGCGCGACACCAGAAACGCCTGAAAACACAAGCAAAAAATACGTGATGAAGAGCGAAGACAAAGAAAAATCAGAGCTGGACGGCGAAGTTGGATGAAATGCTGCGGTGGTAAAGCCGGACGTACACTGTGCGACTTTTTCACTCGTAGCACTCAGCTTCAGCTCAAACTGTACGACTTCCTCGCCGAGCAGATCTCACGAGTCGTGCTCACACTGCACGACCCAGTTCTCGCATGTGACCTGACTGCTCACACTGTACGAGTGGCATGAACTACCGCAGCTAAAAATTAGCCAGTAGATGTTGGAATTACAAACACGAAGAAGAAAACCCCGGAAGTAAAAACGAGGGAAAACCAGTTCGGTTCCGAGCAGAAAAGCGCTTGCTTGCTCGCTGTTAACCGCAATAATGCTCGTGAAAACAAGACGTTTGTCTTTGGCTCTTCTTGCCATCATGTGTGTCGATGAAAAGAAAAAGAGAAGACGAATGTGGACAAAGAAATGGCTGGGCAGATGTTGCCAGTATGGTTTGTCAAATCTACAGCGGGAGTTGGAGGTAAGATGTTTGAAATAACCTTTTCTTTATGTAACTACAATTGTATCTATTGACTTAAATTACATTTTGACCAGCTGATGGACTTTGGGGTGGTGGGTGGAGTGACAACCGCCATTTGTAATGCTGTTGCAATGATGTGTGAAATAGAGCGATGATATGAAGGGGTTTCGGGACCTTCTCCGCATGTCTGTGGAAGAATTCAACGACCTTCTGGAGAGAGTGGCCCCTCAAATCATCACACACACCTGAGACACACACCTGAGGAAGGCGATCAGTCCTAGGGAGAGGCTCTCTGTGACACTGAGATTCCTTGCAACAGGCAAGAATATATACACACACACACACATCCAAATCAAGTTTACACATTATGAAACACTTTCTTAATCTTTACAGGTGAGACCTTCAATTCCTTATCTTTCCAGTTCAGGATTGGGAGCACCACACTGAGCCGCATTGTGATGGAAACCTGTGCAGCCATGACTCTAGTATTACGTGACGATTACCTAAAGGTAATTTTTTCCCTGCCCTAAAACAGCGCATCCACCCATCACGCTGTGCAGAAGCAATTTATTCACCTGCTGATGTAAATCTGGTGTGTTTGATCAGTAAAAACTGTAAAACATGCTTGATAAGGACCCTCGAGTAACAGAGTGGCATGTGGCACATCACAGATTCATGCACATACAGTTGGAATGTAAAAATTGTTATTGAAGTGGGTTTACATTCTGAGGATTATGAACCTGTTGAGTGATAGTCAAATGTGATGCATTGCACCAGATTTAGCTAGAAGCTAATTTGCAAGTGCAGTCCTGATTAAACCTGAGACTAATATAATGTATCACCATGTACTTCTTCCACAGACACCATCAGCTGAGACTGAGTGGAAGGTCATCGCTAAAGACTTTGAAGACAAGTGGCATTTTCCACATTGCATAGGGGCCATAGATGGGAAACACATCTTCATTCAACCCCCTGCCAACAGTGGAAGCACGTTTTATAATTACAAGTCAAGGTTTTCCATCATACTTATGGCTGTAGTTGACGCAAATTATAGATTTGTATATGCAAGTGCAGGGACACAAGGAAGGGCATCTGATGCTGGAGTGTTTGCCCATTCTGATCTCAGAGAGGCTATGGACAAAGGCACTCTGAATGTCCCTCCTGATGCAACCCTGCTAGGCACTGACTCCACAATACCATATGTGCTCATTGGTGACGAAGCATATCCCCTTAGGCCAGATCTGATGAAACCATATCCATCACGAAACCTCAACCATGATCAAAGGATTTTCAACTACAGGCTTTCCAGAGCACGCCGTGTTGTTGAGAACGCATTTGGAATTCTGGCCAATCGCTTTCGCGTTTTCAGAACCACAATTTGCCTGCATCCAGACAAAGTTGTTGCAATTGTTTTTGCAACACTTTGTCTCCACAACTTCCTCCGACAACAGAGATCAGATGCCTACACACCACCTGGCTATGTGGATTCTGAAGATGCAAACCATCAGCTGGTCAGTGGCACATGGCGAAGTGAGGGAGCCCTTCAGTCAGTTTCGGCAAGCAGAGCTAGGAACCCCACAGTGGATGCTAAGAAACAACGTGATGTGTTAGCCCCAGGGGCCTCGGACTGGGGGGGGGGGGGGGGGTACTGTTTACCCAGGGCCCACTGCAGGGAGGGGCCCTGAGACAGCTTTGAATAAAAATGTTTTAGTGTTGTTGTTTTTCCCCCCAACTTACTTAATGTCTTAATAAACTTCCCTTTACCTGGATAAAGAGGTTAAGAAACAGAATTTCGCCTTAAAATAATAACTGAATAATCTCTGAGGCATCTATCACCCCTTAAAAATGTGCAAAGTGGTTTAGTCCACACCAGCGGCCAGGGGTTGCACGGCCGCATGTACAGCTATGAGATATCGCAGATGCCGACAGCCAGAGCTGGAGGCAGGAGAGTCAGTCATGTCTTTTCCCAAGAAAGGGAAATCTGGCTTCCAGAAAAGAAAATAAAAGAAAAGAAGGAGAAGGAGGAAAAGTTTTTGAACAGAAGCAAGTAGAAGGATGGTGAGCAGCAGTAGCAGAACACAGTTTTAGCTGATAATAGCTAGCTCTCAGAAGCTGCATTCATGTTAGGTGTTCAGTGTTAAACGCCTTTAGTTTGACCGTCAAGATCAAATATAAATTAATTAGTGTTATCAGTGAAAACACTAATTAATATATATATATTAGTCAGAATTATTATCGCGGGCGGCCGCCGCCAATTAATTCGCGGACCTCGCAGTAAAAACAGGTTCACGCTGTGTGGCTATTTCAGCTCCTTCCCAGTCATGGACCAGGACAAACTTGGTATCGATGGATTAGCGGTAATCTCAGGAATGTGAAGCTGCCACTGTTGTTCGTATAGCATGATGACACTGGTGTTAGAGGATTGTTATTGACTTGGTTAGATATTTTAAGCCTATTTTAAATTTCTTTATATTTGATCTTGAAAACGGACAATCTTATAATTTGGCTGATAATGCAGGGATTATAAAATTTAGAGTACATTACATTCACAGAGAGAACCTGGTTTATTTCATGTCATATGTATTTAATATATCAATACATATCAGCAAAGCTTAACATCATGAACCATGACGGACATGACTGAAGAGCAGATGAAGATATCATGCCAGGCACTGATGAGAAAATATTACAAGGATCTCACAGCTGAATTTGAGAATGAGATGCTACACCTGAGAACAATATATGATGCCACATTTCCACACATTCGGTCTCCTCTTGAGCTGCTTAATGCTATACAGCAGGGATTCCCAAAATGTGGTGCGCGCACCCCCAGGGGTGCGCGAGCTGCCGCTAGGGGGTGTGCGAGGTGAAAAGTGTAATGGCTGCGGAGCTCAGAGAAGTCTGTCAAATGTCACCATTAGCGTAGCCAGAAACTCATTTGTGGGTGGACCTAAGAAAAAGTAAGTGGGCACAATAAATGTAATTGAAAACAAGTATATTTTTGCGCGTGTGTCCTCCACATGTGCCCTAGCTTCATAATAACAATGCGCAGAGCTTCAGCACTCTGACCTGCGCACGCCGATATGTTCCGTATTTGATCATTTTTAACGGTGTTGGAGAAATCTGAAGGTGGTGAGTCATTCTGGCAGATTGTAATTTACACCCTGTCTCATGCAGGCGTTCTGACATTGTAAACCTCACACACAGAACATTGTGGATGTAACTAAATAACAAGAAATGATTCCCATTCAGGCTATTGACAGCGCGCTGAAGATCTGAAGTTCTGAGTGCGTCTGTCAGAGGTCAGACGCGTTCCAGCTGAACCACGGCTCACGGGTGCACATGTGAGCACATCTGGGCTGGGCAGAAGTAATTTTACAACATTGGTTTAAATAGCGCCAATAACGAGACGCGGTGACTTGAGCGGCTGTGCCGCACGCGCGTGCGCGCGCACACACACACACAGATTCAATAAGCGCGCACGCTGCTTTAACTCCGGCGCGCCGTCAGACTGAAGGCAGAAATGAACGCTGCCTCCACCGTGATAAAAACTTTTAAGAGGTTATTTTTCATTCAAGGTCAAATTAAGATATTAGCTTCTGGGATGAGTCGGGTCCGCTCCAGCCAGTGACTCCTCATGAACCTGACCACAAGTCCTGTTACTGCAGCATGTGTTATTCCAGTCAGCGTGGCAGCGGATCGCAGATTCAGCCACACTATAAAACAGCAATAAGTCGGTCTGAGGTAAAAGTGAACCTCATGGCTATATCTTGTCCCCTATTGACATTTGATTACGCACAAGTAGGTGATCAGCTCGGGTTTAAGCAGAGCAGAAGGAAGGAGAGCGCTCTGGCCGCACAGGTTAAACGTTCCTACTTTAAGAAAACCGTTAAATTGCATTGTTTATGTGCTACCTGGGCACTCTAAATAATTATTTAAAATCAAATCAAAGGAAATTGTATTGGTATCGAATGTTTATTAATTACTATTTAAAAAATGAAAGTGATGGGGAATTTTTTTTAACCCTGTCTGTTTAGCTTGACATCTGATATATATATATAGAGCCATGCCCTGATGTGGGGGGAGGGGGGGGTGCGTCGACATGGTCGGGACATAGAAGGGGGTGCGCGGCTAAATACGTTTGGGAACCACTGCTATACAGGATGCAATTACAGAGCATTTTTGGAGAAGTTTGTATTGGACTGAGGATATTTTGCACACTACCTGTGACTGTTGCTGGGGGTGAACGGGCTTTTAGCAAACTGAAACTGGTGAAAAATTATTTGAGATCAACAATGTCCCAGGATAGACTGAACAGCCTAGCTCTTCTGTCAATTGAAAGCCAATTAGCCAAAGGATTGGACTTTAAAGATCTCATAAGTGATTTTGCTAACATGAAGACCCGTCAGTGGGCATTTACTGGAAAATAATTTCCAGGATTTTTGTTTGAACACGTTGTTGGCAAATAAAAATAATTATATGTGAAGTCTGGGCATTTCACTTTTATTATGCTGGCATTTGTATTTGCTCAATATAGAGGTTAAACTAAGATCATATTTATTATCTTGTCTTATAGCATGACAAAAAATGTTTAAGAGAGATATTAAGTAATTGAGCATGGGGGCCCACCTAGAAGACTTGTACCTAGGGCCCAGAATTTGGTGCTACGCCCCTGGTTAGCCCAGTACTTTGTCTCACCTGCAGGAAGAATTTCCTGGCAGGAAAACATGGTGTAGCTTCATATGCGTTAAACTTCTGTAAATAAAGCGAGAGCATTGGTTCCACTCAGTCATTAGCTCAGATGGTGTTCCTGTCTGGCTGTTAACTTTCTCTGAACAAGAACAAGACATTGATTATGTGTACGGAACTGCATTTAAAGGCTGATTTCAACTCTTAGGGTGGATTCTTTTGAAAATTCATAATGTGTGGGAGTGGAGTGATGCATTTTCTTATGTTTGTAACATTTGTGAACAATAGAGCTCCGGGAGTTGACGTCACTTCTCCCGGCATGCAACAGTTCAAATCGAAACGGCGCCATTTGGCACAAGAGCATCTGGCTGCAGACATCAGCTGGCGTCTTTGCCGTGACAGGAAATGACGTACCCGGAAAAACAAGACATCGGGTCATTACCTTCGCCGGAAGTCATTACCTTTGCCGGAAGTAGTTCGGATTTGTCGAGAAAAACCATACTGTGTCTTTTCTCTTCGAAATGCACATATTTAAGAGAAAAATTACACGGTGGGTCATTACCCTGACCAGAAGTCATTACTTTCACTGGAAGTAGTTTTTTTAAAACAAAACTTACCGGAAAAAGCTTTTTATTTCGGATTTTGTTTTCTCTTTAGATCTGGACTGGCAAACTTAAATAACGTTGTAACCTACATTGCATGACAATTGAATATTAAATCCCTTTGTCCTTCAGACAGGGAATTTTTATGACAGTAGCACATACATGTGTGTATATATATATATATATATATATATATATATATATATATATATATATATATATATATTGTACATATATATATATACATATACGTATATATATGTACAATATATACATATATGTATATATATTGTACATATATATACATATATGTATATATACACACAACAATAAAAGGCTGTAAAGTGAATTAAAAAAACATATATGGAAAAAATGAGAACACATTAAACTAAGACTTTTCAAAATGTGCAAACAAAATACTACTTGCTAAATATTCAGTTTTATTGTTAAGCCCAAGATGAACTTTTGACCTACACCAGTTGCTAAAGTACAGGACTCCCAGAAGCAGTGAAAAACATTTCAGCAACACTCCTCTCTCACCAGCAACAAAAAGTTACTAAATATCCATAACACTGTCCTATTGTGTATCACAGCAGCTCATTGCAACAGAATTTAACTACTACAGCTGATAACTATTTAGCTAGTTGGTATTTATTTTGAGTAAAAGACAATAAAACCAAAGAAACACTTAATTTCACAACCATTTTATTTTGGGTACAAATGAATTTGCTGAAGCATGGCTTTCTTAGCTGCATATCGATTCATCCCCTCCCATTTTTCCAACACTTTTATTGTTACCTGAAAAACATGCAGGATTACTTCATCGTCGTCGTCTTCCTCCGCTTATCCGGGTCTGGGTCATGGGGGCAGATCCCAACTAGGGAGCTCCAGACCGTCCTCTCCCCGGCCACCTCCACCAGCTCCTCCGGCAGGACCCCAAGGCGTTCCCGGACCAGATTGGAGATGTAACCTCTCCAACGTGTCCTGGGTCGACCCGGGGGCCTCCTGCCGGCAGGACCTGCCCGAAACACCTCCCCAGGGAGGCGTCCAGGAGGCATCCTGACCAGATGCCCAAACCACCTCAACTGACTCCTTTCGATCCGGAGGAGCAGCGGTTCTACTCCGAGTCCCTCCCGAATGTCCGAGCTCCTCACCCTATCTCTAAGGCTGAGCCTGGCCACCCTACGGAGGAAACTTATTTTGGCCGCTTGTATCCGCGATCTCGTTCTTTCGGTCTTTACCCAAAGCTCATGACCATAGGTGAGGATTGGGACGTAGATCGACCGGTAAATCGAGAGCCTGGCTTTGTGGCTCAGCTCCCTCTTCACCACGACAGATCGGCTCAGCGCCCGCATCACTGCAGACGCTGAACCAATCCGCCTGTCGATCTCCCGATCCCTCCTACTCTCACTCGTGAACAAGACCCCGAGATACTTAAACTCCTCCACTTGAGGTAGGACCTCTCCCCCGATCCGGAGTTGGCAAGCCACCCTTTTCCAGTCGAGAACCATGGTCTCAGATTTGGAGGTGCTGATCCTCATCCCAGCCACTTCACACCCAGCCGCAAACCTACCCAGCAAGAGCTGAAGGGAGCAAGAGCTGAAGGTCAGAGCTGGATGAAGCTAGGAGGACCACATCATCCGCAAAAAGCAGAGAAGAGATTCTCCTGCCACCAAACTCTGTTAAGGATTACTTCATACACTGTCAAATGTTTTCGAAAAGTAACTTTTATACCAATCACTGCTGAAGACAGCGTTGTACCTCTGGAACAAGGACATCAAACACCAAGTCCAGAAACTGGAACTCTCCCTTCTTTATTAGTTTATCTATTCCAGAGCATGAACCAATCCGCTCTGTCAGGTCGTCAACCTATAAAACACGTTAACATAAAAATGAACAAAACGTTCCTCTCAGCATTAGACAACGGACCCAGGTGGCCCACTGACCATGCATCCACATAAATAAATGTGATGCAGCTTATTGTAAGTCAGTATACATTTACCTGTGCATCAGCAAAGTGGAACATCAGTGGCTTTAGTCTTTGCTTTAATTTAAGCGAGACACCTGGATTGTGCCACAGATGCATGCGGCCAGACTTCACTCCACCGCTGCAGAGATCCTTATACAAAGTCTGAGTAAAGACAAGTTAAAAATAAGCAACATTACCACAGAAAACAAGGGATTGCATTATCCTATGTCCAATTTTAGAGTCTTAATTTATTATAACTAAACATTACCTTGATTTCACCATCTGAAATCACTGCTTGGGTTCCACTTTTCAAAGCCTCGATTGTCCTGTAATTTAGATAAAAATACATATTAGTAAATGAAGAATACAAGCACATGTAAGGAGTTTTGTCAGTGTCACTTGAAGTCCGATATTCATTTTAGATCTATATTCAAGGCCTCTAACTCCTGAATGATTTGCAGCTAAATGTGCTTAAATCCGGTAATATTAACATAAACCATACCCGATCAAAGCAGTCAGTGGACAAAAATATCTATTTTTTATAAGGTTAGGATTATTCGGAAACAGAATCAGAAGGAGGGCGGCATTAATTAGAGAAGCGGCTACTATTTCAACGTTATGGGCCATTCCCATCTGTACCGGGTTGGCCCGGGCCGGGTAGCCCCAGTCGGCCCCAGCCTGGCCCGGTTGATTCCACACATCCTTGCCTTAAGCCCATGTGGGCTGATTCTACCCACCAATCAGAGGCTTGCTCTAATGGAAGGTGTGAATTTGCTGTCAGCAGTGGGTGTGTTGGCCCTGGTTGGCCTGAAGTAGACCCCCTCGAGAAGAGGGCTGAGAATGAGCCTTGGTTGGCCCGGAAAAATACCAGGCCACCCAGATATGTAAACAACCTACGCTACCCGGCCTGGGCCGACCCAGTACAGGTGGGAATGGCCCATGAGTGTACTTGTATTGGAACCAGTTTAGGTTCATGTTTTCTTCCTGGCCAGTAGGGGGCGCAGGTTTGAACAGTTGCTATGTTGAGCCAGTGTGTAGAAGAAGTGTGTCAGTAAGTTTCCCATATGCAAGAAGCAAAAACATCTGTTCAGCAATCTGAAGCCATCCGCTCTATTTCATCCCTTTGAATGGAAATATGAGTGAGTTTTTCTCTGTATATTAAGTTTACACAGGATTTAAGATATTATTGGGAATGAGTTGAGTTACTTAGCATGTTTTATAGATTGAGGATCTGATAGGAAGCAATGTTAACATGCTGTTGAGATGAATCCTTTAGTGCACATATGCTAAGGATGTTTGTTTAAATTGATCATCTGTGTTGTACACTAAGATTATTTTTCTGTATTTTGTATCATTTCAGTTTCACACTTTGTTGCATTAAATTCCGTCCAAATACAACACGTGCCTGTTCATTGGAGGAGAGCGATGCAAGAAAGAGTTTAGCTGGCTGTGAATCTCAATATAGGACACGGGGTCACATTGGGTGCAACAGTACAGTGAAATCATACCATTCGGCGAGGGATTCGAGTGGTGTTCTATTTAGCTATGGAGAAAGGAGACTCAGAAGGTCAAAATGAGGAAACACAGTCAAATCATTCCAGAAGGTCTTCAAAATCCTCAGGAAGACTGACTGTTAGATCATCAGCAGCATGTTCAAGCCGGTCATCAGCCTCGAGCCGAGCCAGCATGGCAGTGGCGCGGGCACAAGCAGAAGCACAGGCAGCCAAGGCCAGGTTAGCCTACGCTGAAAAGGAGATGAGCATTAAAGTAGAAAAGGCTCGTCTAGAAGCAACTCTCGATGTGATAAACCTGCAAAAGGAAGCTGATGCAGCCATGGCCAAAGCTGAGGTAATGGAGTCAGCAGTGGCTCAATTTGACAAAGCAGATTCAAAGGAAGAGCTGTCATTTTTACCTTTACAAGCAACCACAGAACAAAAGGTGAGTGAGTACATCAACAAAAACAATTACACCGATCTGGCTCAAGGAAACGCATCGCAACATGATGACAGAAAACATCAGACTGAACAATCCAATCAACCATTAATCTACTCACCTCTTTGCCCCAAACATGAACCAGTGCAATGCCGATTTGTACCACAAGATGGTGCTGAGGGACCAACACAAAGTGGTACAATTCTACAAATTCCACAGCAGGGATTATTCCCAAAATATAACGCTGACAGCACAAGTGACCTTGCTAGATTTTTAGCCAAAAGTCAACTAGTAACTGGAGGACTGGAAAAATTTGATGATAAACCAGAAAGTTACCTTAGTTGGAAAACTACATTCCAGAGCACCATAACAGAACTTGGTCTTACAGCCAGTGGGGAAATGAACCTTCTCATTAAGTGGCTGGGCCCAGAGTCTTCTGAACATGCCAAGAGACTGAAAGCAGTTAACATAAAGTATCCACTTGTCGGTCTCAACATGATATGGTCGAGACTAGAAGAATGTTATGGCTCACCAGAAGCAATAGAGAACTCGTTGTTTACCAGAATACAAAACTTTCCAAAACTCTCCAGTAAAGAACCACACAAGCTTCGTGACCTGTCAGATTTATTGTGCGAACTCCAAGCTGCAAAGCTGGATGGTTATTTGCCTGGGTTAAATTACCTTGACACAGCCAGGGGAGTTCATCCAATTGTGGAGAAGCTGCCCTTCCATCTTCAAGAAAAGTGGACAATGTCAGGGTCAAAGTTTAAGGAAGACCACAACGTAAGCTTCCCCCCATTCTCATTTTTTGTTGAATTTGTGAAAGGTCAAGCTAAGGCAAGAAACGACCCTAGTTTCACCACGACCTTCAACTCATCTCTCTCTTACGTCAATCAGATGTCAAGCCACAGGAAAGACAAATCAGCAAACCACTATAACCAAAGGTCAGCAGTTACAGTACACAAGGTGGACATATCATCAGAGGATAAAGAAGCAGAGGACGACAAAAAACAATGTCCCATACATCAAAAACCCCATCCACTCAAAAAATGCAGGGGTTTCAGAATCATGCCGCTTGATGACAGAAAAAAGTTGCTCAGAGAGAATAAACTTTGTTTTCGCTGCCTTACTTCCACCAGCCACCAAGCCAAAGACTGCTCAGTCCAGATTAAGTGTGAAGAGTGCGACAGTGAAAGACACCTGGCAGCTCTTCACCCTGGACCTGCACCACAACTGCTCAAGTCTCCTCCATCCCGTCAGGGGCACGGCGGGGAGCAAAATAAACAGGATCAAGATGTGACAACTACATGCACAGAGGTATGTGGAAATAAAATCACAGGCAAATCCTGTTCCAAGATCTGCTTGGTACAAGTCTATCCTAAAGGTCAGCGAGAAAAAATGAGGAGGATGTATGCAATGATTGATGATCAAAGCAACCAGTCACTTGCAAAGACAGAGTTTTTTGACATATTTGATATAGAAAGCACAACTGAACCGTACACGCTGAAAACTTGCAGTGGTGTAACACAAATGACTGGGAGAAGGGCAGGTGGCCACATTGTCGAGTCACTGGATGGGAAAGCAAATTTTCCTCTTCCCACGCTCATAGAGTGCAACGCCATTCCCAACAACAGGGATGAAGTGCCCACTGCTGAAGCAGCTTTACACCACCCTCATCTAAAAGCAATAGCTGCGGAAATACCACCTCTCGACCCCAAAGCAGATATTCTGTTGCTGATAGGACGAGACCTTCTGAGAGCTCACAAAGTAAGGGAACAAATTAATGGCGGAGACAATGACCCATTTGCACAGAAGTTAGACCTGGGCTGGGTTATTGTTGGTGATGTTTGTCTTGGCAACGCTCACAAACCAAGTAAAATAAATGTTCTGAAAACCCACATATTAGACAATGGCCGACCAAGCTGTCTTATTCCTTGCAACAGTCACCTCAATGTAAAGGAGGACTTTAGTCTGAGCCAAACTAGAAGTAGCTCTACACAAACACCAATGGTGTACCCACATCCAAAGCCTACAGCTGATCTTTTAGGAGAGACTGTGTTTCAGCAAGCCAGCAATGACAATCGGCTTGCTCAGTCAGTTGAGGATATGATTTTTCTGGAGAAGATGTCTGGGTTTTTCAAAGATGAGACAAACAGCTGGGTTGCACGACTTCCCTTCCGAAGTCCCAGACGCAGGCTCCCAGATAACCGTTCCTGTGCCTACCGGCGGCTTATGTCTTTACGACATATGCTAGACAAAAAGCCAGAAATGAAAACACATTTTGTTGAATTCATGCAACAAATGTTTAACAACCAACATGCAGAACTCGCTCCACCTCACAGCAAAGACAAAGAGATCTGGTACCTCCCTGTGTTTGGTGTGTATCATCCCCAGAAGCCGGGGAAGATACGAGTGGTGTTCGATTCAAGTGCCCAGTTTGATGGAGTGTCCCTGAACGACGTCCTATTATCTGGCCCGGACTTAAACAACACACTCCTGGGCGTGTTGCTCTGCTTCAGGAAGGAACCAGTCGCTGTCACAGCCAACATTGAACAAATGTTCTACTGCTTTGTAGTCCGGAAAGATCATAGAGATTACCTTCGGTTTCTATGGTACGAAGACAACGACCTTGCCAAGGACATGGTGGATTATCGAATGAGGGTGCACGTCTTTGGCAATAGCCCCTCCCCGGCAGTGGCAATTTACGGGATGAGGCTGGCAGCAAAAGAGGCGGAAAATGAAAATGGAGCTGATGCACAGAACTTCATAGAGCAAGATTTCTACGTTGATGACGCGTTGAAGTCTTTTCCAACCGTTGCCGAGGCGGTTGACGTCCTAAAGAAAGCACAGAAAATGCTTGCTCTCTCCAACCTGCGTCTTCACAAGATCGCCTCCAATAAAGTGGAAGTGGCCAAGGCATTCTGTCCTGAGGACAGAGCCAAAGACATCAAAAACCTGGATCTGACGAAAGATGAGCTTCCTGTCCAACGCAGCTTGGGGGTAAGTTGGAACCCCACGTCAGACACCTTCACGTTTCATGTTCCAAAAGAGCAGAAACCCTTCACTCGTCGTGGTGTACTTTCAACTGTGAACAGTTTGTTTGACCCTCTTGGCCTGTTGGCGCCTGTAACCATCAAAGGTAGACTTCTACTTAGAGCACTCTCTAGCAGTAACCTTGAATGGGACAGTTCTTTACCCCAAGACATGTACGAGAGCTGGAGGAGTTGGCACGAGTCACTTAACAGTCTAACAAGTCTACACATTCCACGTACCTACGTCGCATTCTCTATCTCACAAGCGACCTTCACCGAACTTTGTGTGTTCTCAGATGCTTCAGTGAAAGCCATCGCTGCGGTGGCTTACCTGAAGGTCACACATGAAGACCAGCACATTGAAGTTGGGTTTGTCATGGGAAAGGCCAAACTGGCTCCCACACCAGAGTCTACCATCCCACGATTAGAGCTCTGTGCAGCAGTGCTTGCAGTGGAGATGTCAGAGCTCCTCAAAGAAGAGCTAAAAATCCAGATTGACAAGACAACGTTTTACACCGACAGTAAAGTGGTGTTAGGATACATCAATAATCAGAGCAGAAGATTCCACGTATATGTGAACAGTCGTGTGCAGAGAATCAAACGGTCGTGCCTACCAGAACAATGGAGATATGTTCCAACAGAACACAATCCAGCTGACCATGGTTCCCGGTCTGTGCCAGCAGGAAAACTCTCCAGCACATTGTGGTTCCATGGCCCAGCATTTCTTCTTAAGGAACAGACTGTATTTCCAGAAAAAGGTCCATTCAAACTCATCGATCCAGAGTCAGATGGGGAAATCCGGCACAACGTTAGTGTCCTTGTGACCACGGCTGGTCCAGGAGGGTTGGGTTTATCACGCTTCGAAAGGTTCTCAAAGTGGACTTCTCTTGTCCGTTCAGTGGCCTACCTTCACCACATCGCCGACAGCTTCATGTCCAAAAATGGTGGCGAGTGCAGAGGCTGGCATCTTTGTAAAACAAGTCTCAAAGGTGATGCCTTACGTCAAGCGGAGCATACAATTATTAGGTGTGTGCAGAATGATGTCTATGCAGAAGAAATAAACTGTATCATGATGAAAAGAGAAATCCCATGCACTAGTACTCTTCTCAAGCTTCATCCCTTCATGGATAACGACAGCTTGTTGCGAGTGGGAGGACGTCTTGCAGCATCAAACTTAACAGGTCACGAAACTAACCCTCTTCTGATACCAGGAAAGCATCATATTGCCACACTGCTTATCCGACACCACCACGAGGCTGTCCAGCACCAGGGAAGACATTTCACAGAGGGGGCTGTGAGAGCAGGTGGACTATGGATAGTTGGTGCGAAGAGGTCCATCAGCAGTGTAATCCACAAATGTGTCACTTGCAGAAAGCTTCGGGGCAAGATGGAACAGCAGATCATGTCAGACTTGCCTGCCGAACGCCTACAGACTGACCCCCCATTCTCTTATGTTGGTCTCGATGTGTTTGGACCATGGGAGGTTTCAGCGCGCCGAACCAAGGGTGGCCAGGCTAACAGTAAGAGATGGGCAGTCTTGTTCACCTGCATGTCCACCAGGGCGATTCATATAGAAGTGGTTGAGACTCTGAGTGCCTCTAGTTTTATTTATGCACTTCGTAGGTTTTTCGCCATCAGAGGCCCGGCAAAACAGTTGAGGTCAGACCGAGGAACCAATTTTGTTGGTGCTGCCAAAGACCTGAAGTTGAATCCTCCAAAACCTGATGAGCCAGTTCTGGATGCCTACCTTCAACAACAGAGGTGTTCTTGGGTGTTCAACGCTCCACACTCATCCCATATGGGCGGCACCTGGGAGCGTATGATAGGAATCTCACGACGCATCCTAGATTCGATGCTTCTCCAAGCAGGTAACCCCACCTTGACACATGAGGTCCTGACAACATTGATGGCCGAAGTTACAGCTATCATCAATGCGAGGCCCTTGATACCCGTTTCCTCCGATCCTGATGCTCCATTCATCCTGACACCTGCGAGTCTACTTACCCAGAAGTTTGATCCGGTCCCTATACCATCTGGAGATTTCACCAAGGCTGACATGTACACGCGTCAGTGGAAAAGAGTTCAAGCCCTTGCTGATACATTCTGGGCCAGGTGGCAGAAGGATTACCTCCACATGCTCCAAAGTCGTCAGAAGTGGCAGCGCAGAAAACCGAACCTAAAAGAAGGGAACATCGTCCTTCTGAAGGACAAGCAACTAAAAAGAAATGAGTGGCCTATGGGCATCATTGTGAAAACGCTTCCAAGCAAAGATGGAGTTGTCAGGAAGTTGGAAGTCAAGGTTGCACGAGACAAGACGTCGAAAACTTTCTGCAGACCTATATCGGACTGTATCCTTCTTTTAAGAGATTAACATGTTATTTTGATGGGGTTAAACGGCATTTTAAGAATAATGCCAGACGGGGAGTGTATTGGAACCAGTTTAGGTTCATGTTTTCTTCCTGGCCAGTAGGGGGCGCAGGTTTGAACAGTTGCTATGTTGAGCCAGTGTGTAGAAGAAGTGTGTCAGTAAGTTTCCCATATGCAAGAAGCAAAAACATCTGTTCAGCAATCTGAAGCCATCCGCTCTATTTCATCCCTTTGAATGGAAATATGAGTGAGTTTTTCTCTGTATATTAAGTTAACACAGGATTTAAGATATTATTGGGAATGAGTTGAGTTACTTAGCATGTTTTATAGATTGAGGATCTGATAGGAAGCAATGTTAACATGCTGTTGAGATGAATCCTTTAGTGCACCTATGCTAAGGATGTTTGTTTAAATTGATCATCTGTGTTGGTCACTAAGATTATTTTTCTGTATTTTGTATCATTTCAGTTTCACACTTTGTTGCATTAAATTCCGTCCAAATACAACACGTGCCTGTTCATTGGAGGAGAGCGATGCAAGAAAGAGTTTAGCTGGCTGTGAATCTCAATGTAGGACACGGGGTCACATTGGGTGCAACAGTACAGTACTTGTTGCAGGACACCTGATTTGTGCAAGCACAGTTGAATGACCCAGCACAATACCACACGCAATAACTGAAAAATATTTAGAGATATTGAAAGCTAAGCTTGTCCAGAAAAGAAATTTAATTTCTGGGTGCACAGGACCTGTTCCAGTGTGGGCCAGATGCTGAAAAATAAATTCATAAATCTGTCTTTTTGAAGTTTCACAAATCAGAGGAAGGTTTCACAAATCAAACTATGTTTTATGCATTCTGCTACGAGCCCAGAATAATCTAAAACAGGTTTGAAGAACGTATGTGTTGTAGGTTTTGAGCTAGAGCAGATTAAAAATGGTCAGAGAAGAGAAAAATTGGGTGTATTAGCCCTTTAGCCATTTCCCGAATCGGAAGCTAACTTCAGCCTCGTATGAAAACTAGTGATCAAAACCACTTACAAATCTCTGAAAATCTACGCTTTTTAATTAAAAAAGGATATTAATAACGTTTCAGTCAAGTCAGTATTAGAAATCGTGGTCTTTGTATCATATCTAAATTATATATAAAGTTAATATTACTTTAACTGTTTTAACAAACAGGGAGACTAGAAAAATCAAATAGCTAAGTTAAAGCTAAGCTACAATTGCTGATAGCTTTATTGATGTAGCTTTTGTGTTAGCTTGTGAACTCCCTGCATTCGTTTTAAGACTGCGTGTTAATATTGATACAATTAGCTATGAAACACGGTGCCTTTGAAATAATTCTCTGGTAAAGCTTTAAATGCTATAGTGCCTACATTTAAGAACTAAGAACGGTTGCAACAATTAGTTAATTTCATCCTTATCCTTCTTTCTTTATCTTTCATCCTTATCCTTACCTTTCCTCTTTGAAACCCGCCGAGTATGGTTGAAACAAAAACACAAAAACAACGTAGCGGCCATCAAAAAAGATCAACTTCCTGCCGAGGTCTTTCGCTCGTCGATTTTCCGGTAAAAGTAATGACACGCCATCTTGTTCTCGACACACCAGCTGATGTCTGCAGCCAGGTCCTACTCATTTGGCAGGCAGAAGCCGGCGGCTGGACTATTTGTTATTGTCAGAAAACTCAATCAAACGGGAAATATGGTAGATTCCTGTTGTGCCCCAGGATGCAGAACAGACGTGGACGACATAAGGGATGAGCCATCTACAGGATTCCCCAAGATCTGGAGCGCCGCAAACGTTGGATCATTGTAATAAAACGCGCTAGTGACTGGGCTGAAATGAAGCTGTGGGATCCCGAGAGTAAAGGTTTTCGCTTATGCAGCGACCACTTCATATCAGGTGCTTAAACCAACGTTTCCTCAACTGTGTGTGGTATTTATTTTAAATGCTTTTATTACGATTCTTAGTGGGCTTCCTAAACTTATTTTGGCGTGGCTTTTTCTGTCTTAGTACTCATAGCAACAAGTAAACATCATGTAAAACGGTGCCTGGTGAGTTCTGAGTGCTGCCTTTTCCGTGTTTTATGATCACAGCAATTAACCGGCTAAGCTGTATTTAATTTTTAAGCAATGGTTGATCAATTGTCAGATCACACATAAAAAGCACTTTGGATTGCTCTTATTTGTCTCACCGAGACTACTTACGTGTAAATCTGTTATTTGTCCGTCCATCCATCCATTTTCATCCGCGTATCCGGAGTCGGGTTGCGGGGGCAGTAGCGTGACTTCCCTCTCCCCAGCCGCCGGAGCAAGCTCCTCCGGGTAAATCCCAAGGGGTTCCCCGGTCAGGTCCGGTGTTGTGCCGGTAAGAATTCCACTCCGACAGTTTCTGGCGTCGGAGCGGGCAGTAGAATCGAGAGTCCCAGACCTCTCCCCAGCTCCTCCGGCCGGGGAATCCCAAGGGGTTTCCCGGTCAGGTCCGGTGTTGTGCCGGTAAGAAGTCCGCTCCGACAGCTTCTGGCGTTTTTAAAAAGTATCCCAGGGGCACGGTAAGGGTCGGAGATGTTTAGTCTATTTAATTTCTGACTATATAAAACGATTTCTTCGGTTTTAAAGTGTGAAGTAAACTCCGACGAAGTAAAATCCAAGCGGATCCCGTTTATGTTCATGGTTACATCCGTGTTTGTTTACCTTTTTTTCCTGCCAAAATGGCGTCTACTAACTGAGAGTCACGTGGGGTCCGGAGCTCTATAAGAATTTTTCAAAAGAGTTTTTATTTATGAAAACTATTTAAACAATGGCAGATTAAAAAAAACAGTAATTTACATATACACCAAACAACCTGTGTGGGAGAAAAAAGGGCAAACTTTCCCTTTTTAAGACAAAATGATTTTAAAAAATACTAAAACAAAGATACTATTGATGAAAGTAATTAACTAGTCTGAGTTGAGCACGTGTCTGTATGACATTGGCGATAGTGATAGCAAAAAGTTGTCATTCCGTGGTGGCTGGAACTGTTGCATGTGGAAGGAAGGTGCAGGACTGACATGTGGAACAGGACATTGTCCAGCCTGTTCTGCTTCTTGTGCATCATAAATTAAGTTCATGATGCTTCTCCTGAGCCTCAGCTGTGAATGTTTGTCCTTGACATTCCGCATTTGTTTCTTTCTTTGTTGCTTCCGCTTCCTAAATTCCGCCCCTGCTTTCGTGTTTGCGCATGCGCCGTGAGCGGTTCTGATACTTTTTGGATCGTAGCTGCTCGCAGCGCCGCTTCAACAGTGCGATACCCTCACGAGGGACGAGCGAAATTTCAAACACACCAGAAGTCCGTGCGACCTCACGACTGCTGATCGGCAGCTGGTCATGTGGTGTTAATCGCCTCTCGTAACCCCCTGTACACTACACGACCGCTCGGCGCAAAACTCGCCCCGATGTCGTGGCTTCTCGCACGACTGGAAAATTGGCTCAAAAAAGTGAAAAAGTCGCATAGTGTACGCCCGGCTTTAGGACAGACGTCTGGAGGAGGTGAGAAGAGGAAGGAAGCAGAAGATGAGAGTGTTGACAGAGCGTGCAAAGCGAAGAGAAGAAACTTCAACAGTAAATGGCAGACAGGCCGTGAATGGCTTGTGTTTGACAATGAAAATGCAGAAATGTTTTGTAAAATTTGCCGAGTGTACACGAAAGAAAAAAACAAAACTAACAGTTTTGTGGTGGGGACTAATAATTTTAAAATCGAGGCTGTAAAGGACCACGAGAAAGCTCGAAGTCACCAGGAAAGCCTCCAAATGAAGATTGCTAAGGCAGTTCCAGTTGAAGAGAGTGTTGCTGGGAAAAGCCTCTCTTCACTCAGAAGTTTGGAGTTGGAAAAGATGCAGCTTCTTTTTAGAAATGCTCATGCCATTGCAAAAAAGGGAAGGCCTTTCACCGACTTTGCATGGATGTGTGAGTAAGTAAATCAATCATTCCATTTACATGTTTCAGAATCAGTGCATTTAAACTGATACAGAGTGATGATGTACATGCCTTTACTGACACAGATGAAATGTTATGCTTGATTTCAAAAAGAAAAAATAAAAGAACTCAGTAACTGAACTCTGCACTAACTTTGTCTTTATTCACATGATTAATTTAGGGTGGACAGAAAGAAAGGCTTGAAGATAGGAGAGACACATACAAATGACCACCAAGCAAAAGAATTCATACACTACATAGCAGAGGATGAGAGGAGAAAAATGAAGACAAAACTATTAGATGGCAAGTTCATGTCAGTCATGTCAGATGGATCCCTGGACAGTGCAGTGATGGAAGAAGAAATTGTTTATGTCAGGAGTGCCAGTGAAGGAAAAGTTCAAGTTGACTTTGTTGGGGTTAAATCAGTCTCAAAGCCAGATGCTGCAAATATAGCTGAAGCTGTGTGCGGTATGTTGGACAGTGAAGTCAGCACTGATTGGAAGAAGAAGCTGGTTGCCATCACGACTGATGGAGCATCTGTAATGACAGGAGTAAACAATGGTGTTGTTACAAAACTGCGTGGAGAAAGATGTTACGTGCTTGGAATCCACTGCATGGCCCGTAAGCTCTAACTCTCCTTTTCGGATGGAATAAGGAAGAATGTGATGGTCAGGAAAGTTGAGGACCTGTTGAGTGGACTCTACACCTTATATCATAAGAGTGGCGTAAACAGGGCCAGCCTAAAGGATCACTTCAGGGAGCTCCACCTGAAGCCTTTGATGCCAACCAGAATAGGTGGAACCTGGTGGCTCCCACATTTCTTCAATGCACTTGATCATTTTCTCAGGGGATATGTTGGCTTTGTCCACCACTTAGAGGAGAAGGTATGTTAATTTACAGCCTACTAAAACTAGTGTAGATAGATACAATGTTCTCTAAATCTGATACTCATTATCATCAGTTTTAATGCGGTCTGTGGCTGTGATATAATTTAGTTTGTTTGTCTGTAGTCCTAAAATACCACGAACACCAATGCAGTTGTGAGGGCAAAGGCCAAGGGGTTCCTCAACATAGCCAAGGATGGTGGGGTGCTCAGGTTTTGCTGCCTTCTCCATGACACCATCTATCAACTGAGCAGCCTCTCCAAGTCACTGCAGAGGTCCGTGTCAACCATAGACTGTACATACTGGACAAAACGATTCCATACGCTCCAATAACACGTTTTCTGTCTATAATGGGAGGTGGCCACCACCGCCATTTTGACCGTGTCACAGTTTCCGTCCAGCCCAGACAATTCCATAAAAGGAATGGAATTGTCTGGGTAAAAAAGGGAAGAGAGGAGGAGCTGAGGGTGGGGCTGTAAGGCTGGGATCGAGTGACGACACCCGGGCGAACTAGCTACGAGCTAACCCTGGATAACCTAAAGCTAACGCGGAGGTGGGAGCCGAGCTAACGGATGTAGCCACCTAGCTTCAACCGTACCGGAGCTAACTGTGGAACACCCATGGACCTGAACCTAACACGAAGTTTAAACCATATTTCTCCTCTGAGATGCCACCGTCCACCACAACTTGTGAAAAGCTGGTGTGCGCAGCCAGTGGAATCAC